ATCCCTGTTGAGATTCTGCTAGGCTAGATATTAGGACTGACACCCTCGCAGAATCCCTGGACGACCATTAATAATTCACGTCTGGAAATTAAGTCTCAACTTTGGTCGACTATATCAAGAATTTTTTAAGCTAGACCACACTGCCGTTTGCTTCAATTAAGTAATTTATTTGTATATTCGACTATCTGTCACTATTATGTCTGCATAGCTTACCGTTTAGGCATGTAAATCCCAACATAAAAATATTCACTGAAATCTGCGTTCGAAATATTGCTCCTGTGATGAAATTGTCTTCCTCCTCGAATAAAAGACTTCCTATAGTCTGTTTTTTCCCTATATGTTTCTGAAACAAGTTTACTGTGGCTATTGAACTTCACATAGGGTTAAAACAGACTATAAGAGCTCTCGACAGTGTGGTCTAGGTGAATGATTCTTGCTATAGTCGACCGAAGTTGGGACTTAATTTCCAGACGTGAATTATTAATGGTCGTCCATGGATTCTGCTACGGCGTCAGTCCAAAATATTAAGCCTAACAGAACCTCAACAGGGATTAACATGCCAACTTTCCCGATTTAGGCGGGATCCTCCCGATTTTACCCTTTCATCACGCTTTCCCGATCGGGAGAGAAAAATTGCCCTAATTTCCCGATTTGAAGAAATCACCAAAATTTCCGATTATAAAAGATCCCTACCGCTGAATTTTGACAATCGGGATAACAATGTCAAACTTGTTTATTCAATGCACACAGATTTTAAACACATGATAATTAGCCACAGGAAATCACTTCACGCTTGAACGCACGCAGTTGTCCAGGTACAGGTAGCTTATAGCTTCGGGCATTTAGGGGATTATCTTGTCAGTTTTAAGGGGTATGCAAGGTGAAACACATAGATTAACGTGTTAATTGTTAGTCATTTTATTAAAAACGTAGATTAAAGACAATGAAATACTAATCAAACTTTAAAATCGGAATCAAAAGAGATCGTTTTTTGAAAACGAAAGTAGAAAACTACAACAAAGCATAGCTGCTGATTTTATCTACCTATAATGAAAAATATTGTAAAGTTTGCCAATTAAAATATTATGAAATTAAGATGAAAGATGAAACAATCAAGTGTATGTCAATTAGAATTTCTTTTCCCTTCCTTCTCCCAAAAGTAATAGTTTATAGGTATGTACATGACTTAAGGAAATACCCACATGGCACCATCAAGCCTGACAAATTTCATGACTGTAAAAAAAAATCTTCTTTGGAAAGGTGGTATAAATTTCTGTAAATTTAATACCTTATTAGAATTTCTAATTAATTGAAATATAAATAAAAAAATCTCAAAAATGTTTCCAGAAACAGGACTTTACAGTATCAAAACCTCATATATTTTTTAGCCTTTGAAAAAAATGATTTAAAAGTTGTACAATTTTCAATTTTTCACTAAATTATGTGTCCTGGTAGAAAAAAAAACATGTTTTTAATGAGAGAGGCACCTATTTTAGCAAAAATATTTCATTTTTGGAAAAAAACCAAAACATTTTTTAAAACTTTTTTAAATTATTTTTTTGTGCTAAATTAATTCTTAAGTTGTATTAATAAGTGATATCAAATATTATAAATTTAAAAAAAAGATGATTTCATTATCATTGAATTTCACGACAAAATGTCGCGAATTTAAAGCTTTGAAAATTGTCGTCATGCGCTAAATCATCCATGGGAATTTTCAAAAGTTGGCATGTATCATGGGGAAAAGAAACAAGTAATTATGAAAAAAAAAATTGAAAAAGAAAATGTCTTATGGTTACTTGTATTCCTTTTAAAATTAAGATTAAATACTCACTTGTAAAATTAAATCATATTTAAAAAGCAGTTATGATAGAAATTCAAAATAGAAATAAATTTGAATTATCTTTATGTTTGCTCAGTGGACATTGCACCTCGTGACCTATTTACTGCATGTGTTTACCATTAACAGAGGAATGGAGGAAATTCGGATTAGGAAAATAATGATCGTTTTTGGAAGTAAATAAGTCAAGTAGAAATGCAAAATGGATTATATTATGGATATTTACGAAGAATAGGGGCATGCTGCATCGCAATTTTTCATTTATGAAGACTTTGCAGTAGATCAGAGTGCAATAAATAACCAGGACAAGCCCTCGCCACAATCAGTCACACGGACCGGTTCTATAGCCATTTTCATCGGACATTTCAATTTTCTATCGGTTTTGCAAGTTGGAGCGATAGTTTTCGGAAACGCTGAGGTTTTCGAAGCATGTTGACCAAATAATAGGTCACGGTGACCCACTTTTGAATATCTCAGGTACTGATTGGCTTAGAATCATCAAACTTTGTCAGTAGATGCATCTTGGGTTTTCAGAGAATGTCGATCAAAAAGTAGGTCACAGTGACCTACTTTTGCCATTTTTATGCCCCGCCATGAATATGGCCGGGGCATATAGTGTTTGTCATGTCCGTCTTCCGTCCTTCCGTCCTTCCGTCACACTTTGCGTTTAGCTCTGTTCAAAGCTAAGTTTCAAAGAAACTATCCAAGATATTTTCATCAAACTTCATATGCTGATAGATATTGATGAGAGCTATGGTTCATCTAGGGATGAACACTACCAGACTTGCTTCGGATGCTGGATCTGACTGACATTTTCAAGACGAGTGACCAGGTAAAAGTTTTAGGAACAGGTCCATTCCTAAGGAACTATAAGCCCTACTTGGACCAAACTTGCATGGATGATGCATCTAGGGATGGATACTACCAGACTTGCTTCGGATACTGGATCTGATCTCCATTTTCCAGATGAGTGACCAGGTTAAAGTTTTTAGAGCAGGTCCATTCCTAAGGAACTATAAGCCCTACTTGGACCAAACTTGCATGGATGATGCATCTAGGGATGGACACTACCAGACTTGCTTCGGATGCTGGATCTGACCTATATTTTCATTCCCAAGTAACTATAAGCCCTACCTGAACCAAACTTACATGGATGATGCATCTTTGGATGGACACTACCAGACTTGCTTCGGATGCTGGATCTGACCTATATTTTCATTCCCAAGTAACTATAAGCCCTACCTGAACCAAACTTACATGGATGATGCATCTTTGGATGGACACTACCAGACTTGCTTCGGATGCTGGATCTGACCTATATTTTCATTTCCAAGTAACTATAAGCCCTACCTGAACCAAACTTGCATGGATGATGCATCTAGGGATGGACACTACCAGACTTGCTTCAGATGCTGGATCTGACCTATATTTTCATTCCCAAGTAACTATAAGCCCTACCTGAACCAAACTTACATGGATGATGCATCTAGGGATGGACACTACCAGACCTGCATCGGATGCTGGGTCTGACCTATATTTTCATTCCCAAGTAACTATAAGTCCTACCTAAACCAAAATTGCATGGATGATGCATCTAGGGATGGACACCACCAAACTTGCTTCGGATGCTGAATCTGACCTATATTTTCATTCCTTAGTAACTATAAGCCTACCTGAACCAAACTTATATGGATGATGCATCTTTGGATGGAAACTACCAGATTTGCTTCGGATGCAGGATCTGACCTATATTTTCATTTCCAAGTAACTATAAGCCTTACCTGAACCAAACTTGCATGGATGATGCATCTAGGGATGGACACTACCAGACTTGCTTCAGATGCTGTATCTGACCTTTATTTTTATGCCCAAGTAACTATAAGTCCTACCTGAACCAAACTTGCATGGATGATGCATCTAGGGATGGACACCACAAAACTTGCTTCGGATGCTGAATCTGACCTATATTTTCATTCCCAAGTAACTATAAGTCCTACCTGAACCAAACTTGCATGGATGATGCATCTAGGGATGGACACCACCAAACTTGCTTCGGATGCTGGATCTGACCTATATTTTCATTCCAAAGTAACTATAAGTCATACCTGAACCAAACTTGCATGGATGATGCATCTAGGGATGGACACTAACTGACTTGCTTCGGATGCTGGATCTGACCTATATTTTCATTCCCAAGTATCTATAAGCCCTACCTGAACCAAACTTGCATGGATGATGCATCTAGGGATAAACACTACCAGACTTGCTTCGGATGCTGGATCTGACCTATATTTTCCAAACAAGCAATTCAGCTGCATCACTATTCTGGATATTCTGGTCAAATTTTAAACACATACAAATTTTCATGTTGCTTTACTGATATATCCTCGGCGGGGCATTCATGTCCTATGGACATATTTCTAGTATTGTTATATTTAGGTTTTTTCAAGTACCTATTGGTTTAAAATCATCAAACTTTGTTATTTGATGCATCTTAGGTTCTCGGAGAATGATGATCAAAATATAGGTCACAGTGACCTACTTGTGGCATTTATGGCTATATTTAAGTATTCTAGGGTACTTATTGGCTTAGAATTGTCAAACTTTGGCAGTTTATGCACCTTGCGTTTTCAAAGAATGTTGACCAATAAGTAGGTCACTGTGACCCACTTTTGAATATCTCAAGTACTTATTGGCTTAGAATCATCAATCTTTGTCAATTAATGCATCTTGTGTCCTCAGAAAATTTCAATCAAAATGTAGGTCACCATGACCTACTTGTAGTATTTTATAGTTACATTTAAATATCTTCAGCCCTTACTGGCTAAGAATCATCAAACTTTGTCAGTTGATGCATCTTGGGTTTTAGGATAGATTGTATAATTTATCAAAAGAGCGATTCAAGGCCCTTGGGCCTCTTGTTCTAACTAGTCTTATCGGATGATACCTCAAAAATCGAGGTCCCTTGTCACATCAAGCATTTGCACGATAAAGAACTCTCACTGCTCAATGGCTCTGAGTGTCAAGTAAAGGTAAAAATTTAAAGTCCTTCACTGGTTCTAGTGATGTCTCTACATGAGTGAAAAATTATCAAATGGGACATAAAAAGCATAAAATCAATCAATTATCTTTATAATTATGTTTCTTGCTTATTTTGTAGATGGAGATACACTATTGATGTGCCTTCTTCTTTCCAATTCCTACAAAATAAACATGAAAGAAGGAAACTGGATGACCATATATAATGCAGTTGCCAAATGTTTTCACTCAAAGAAAATCAAAAAGCCATTTGATCTTGCAGATTTAGAAAAATACAAACCAATCCTGAAACTTGATAAATCAGAGATCAGTTTTTCCAATGAGGTATTCAAAAGTGTCAGTTTCCTGAAATTCTCAAGGAGTTCTGGCTTTACTGAACTTTTCTTGACTTGGGCAGAGAAAGAAAACGTAGCTGAGTACTGTAGATCATGGAATTATCGGAGAAGAGAAGACGAGGTTTGCTGTTGGTTATTGCCAGAAAAATATGGGGAGTTTCTGCAAAAACTTGGAGAAGATATTTTCACACACCCAACAATGGAGGACCAGTCATTCCATGAAGTCGTATTTAGAAACTGTAAGTAATTTTGGCTCACCTGACCTAGTTACTGAGATAAAATTTAAAAAGAAATGTCTGCAAGGATGATGGATAGAATTGTTTGTCCTTAATTTCATCTGTAACTTAACTTTACAGATCTTTTTAGCTTACCTGAGCCGATGATCACATTTTTTTCTTCGTCTGTCTGTCTGTCCGTCTGACTTTACACATATTTGACTTCTTTTCAAGAACCAATGGGCCAATTTCCAACCAAACTTGGTACAAAAGCATCCGTGGGTGAAGGGGAGTTTCAAGTGTTAAAATGAAGGGCCAAGTTCCCTTACAAGGGGAGATTAGTCAAAAATAGTGTCGAGTTATTAAAAAATCTTCTGATTTCGAAGAGCCACTGGGCCATGCCAGGAAAGCTGAAACTTATGTGGAAGCATCCTGGGTAGTGTAAAGAAACACGCACGCTAACTCTCGATTCCCGCCTACATTTTGGAACCAATTAATTCAATATGAATAGCTATTTGGTCATAAAATCTTTGTTTAATACAAAGAACAGTTCAATGGTAATTGATAAATCGTCCTAATTCCAGCGCATAACAGTAAATTATCCATAATTCAAGCTCTTGAAAAAAGGGAGTAGACGATATTTTCCATTGAAATCGGAGTTTCAAGCATTACCGTATTTTGGAATAGTCTTGGATATGATTAAATGTTCCTTATTTCTTATTTCAGTTGTATATCGCTTTGAAATTAGTGAAAAAAAAGCATTTTTATCGTTTTTTGTCAATAAACATATGTTACCCCCCCCATGTCACACAAAAAGCTTTGGTATGAGTTTGTGAATACCATTCCATATTACCTGTAAACTGTAAACAGGAATTTTTGTGACACGGGGGGGAAGATGTTTTAAAAATATTTTCCGTTTTCCATTGATTTCTATAGTGAAAAACACAAGTTTTACCAAAATTTTAGAGTTATCTCTCTTTGTTTTCCCAAATATGTAATGTTTTATGAAAATCCATATAATTATCTATAAAAGATATTAAAAATTCATCGAATATGTTAACTTTTGAAAATTGACTTGAAGGTAGGTGGGAGAACAATGCTATCATTTGCAGTTCTTTTAAATTGTTAAAATCAGGGCCACTAGGAAGTAGCACAGGACCACAAAAGGGAAACCAAGTTTTACATAGGAATATATAGGAAAAATCTTTTCCTCATTGCCATTGTGTACATTGGAGCTGAAACTTATATGGAAGCATCCCAGGGTAGTGTAAATTCTAAATTGTTAAAGTCATGACCCCTGCGGGTAGACTGGGGTCACAGAAGGGAATCCATTTTTAGCTCACCTTTGCTGAAAGCTCAAGTGAGCTTTTCTGATCACATTTTGTCCGGCGTCCGTCTGTTTGTCCATCTGTCTGTAAACTTTTCACATTTTCAACTTCTTGTCAAGAACCGCTGGACCAAATTCAACCAAACTTGCCACAAAGTATCCTTGGGTGAAGGGGATTCACGCCCTCATTCACGGGGAGATAATTGGGTATTAATCAAAATAGGGGGCATATTTTAAAAATCTTCTTCTCAAGAACCACTATGCCAGGAAAGATGAAACTTATGGGAAAACATCCTCAGGTAGTGTAGATTTAAATTTGTTCAAATCATGACCCCCTGGGGAAGGGCGGGGCCAAAATGGTCGACCCAAGTTGTACATGGAAATATATAGGAAAATTCTTTAAAAATCTTCTTCTCAAGAATACAAAGCCATAATTCATCATATTTATATGGAAGCATGGTCAGGTAGTGTAGATTCAAATTTGTTCAAATCATGACCCCCGGGGGAAGGGCGGGGCCAAGATGGCCGACCAAAGTTTTACATAGAAATATATAGGAAAATTCTTTAAAAATCTTCTTCTCAAGAATGACAAAGCCATAATTCATCATATTTATATGGAAGCATGGTCAGGTAGTGTAGATTCAAATTTGTTCAAATCATGACCCCCGGGGGAAGGGCGGGGCCAAGATGGCCGACCAAAGTTTTACACAGAAATATATAGGAAAATTCTTTAAAAATCTTCTTCTCAAGAATGACAAAGCCATAATTCATCATATTTATATGGAAGCATGGTAAGGTAGTGTAGATTCAAATTTGTTCAAATCATGACCCACGGGGGAAGGGTGGGGCCAAAATGGCAGACCAAAGTTTTATATAGAAATATATAGGAAAATTCTTTAAACATCTTCTTCTCAAGAATGACAAAACCACAATTCATCATATTTTTATGGAAGCATGCTTAGGTAGTGTAGTTTAAAATTTGTTCAAATCATGACCCCCAAGGGTAGGGGGGGGGGCAAAATGGCCAACCAAAGTTTTTAAAGAATTTCATGATTGGTCATGGGACTACTTTTGGATTTAAACTTTACAATAAAAAGCCATTTCCTACTTTTTCCCACCCTCAGTGCTCAGGTGAGCGATGTAGCCCATTGGCCTCTTGTTTCATAGAAATATAGGAAAAATCTTTTCATATACTAAATATTAAAGTATTTAATCCAAAAGTATTAAGAAATATGCTCATTCAGTAGGACTGTACCAATATATCGATATAGCAGTACGTATCGATATTCAAGAAAAAATATCGTATCGAAAAATAACACCCAATACCAGTACGTATCGGACAAACATTTTTTCTTCCAAGTTCCCCACCAAACCCCCCCCCCTCCCCGGTAATTTTGTCAAAATAAAAGGAGTTGATCTGATCCTAACATTGTGGGTTCGAATCCCACTGTTTGACGTAGAGACTGTCCCTTCAAATATGATCGTGTAAACCAAGGGCCCGTGTCCCAATAGATGCTGGCACAAAAAGTTCCCTCACTACTCAACTGCCGTCAGTTCCTAATATAGAAAAAAAATGTGTAGCTCTCCACCGGCAATCCTTCAGATGAGCAAAACGATAAAAAATTCTGAGAGGAACATTAAACAAAATATGTTGTACTATGAATCTTCAACATGTTTAACGTCCCTCTAGAGAATTTATCTCTCATGAGATATTGCCATTACCAGTGATGTTCCTGCCGCGAGGGGATGCTCCGCTTAACAGTGTCCTTGTTAGATTTTAATTCGATTTTCACATCTCATCAGATATTCATTGATTTATGATTTTATAAATGTTGTTGCATGAACTGCTGCAATCATCAGGCTTTGCATCAATTTAATTAATTTGCTAGTATTGGCATAAAATTAATTTCCGGACAATCAGATCTACGTTTTTAGAATCATTTTTCATAAAGTTGAAGGCTTTCTTATCATAAAACATAGAAAAAAACCCATCTGCCTTTTCTCTTTTGAAAAGGCAAACTGATTAGGGATAATTAAATCACTGAAATTTTGTTCGAGTGATATTTCTTTACAGAATAAAAGATCTTAATAGAATAGGACCACTGGCGGATTTAGAGGGGGGCAGGGGGCCTTGTCCCACCTTTTGAGTCTAAAAAATACACTATATTTGATAAATCAATGTTTTTTTTGGTGTAGCTGTGGGCCCCTTACTGACACCCTGACCTCAAACTGGTCCGGCCTCCCTTTTTCAAAATTTCTGGATCCGCCGCTGAGGAAAGCTATTTGTTTTTATGTTGTTTGTAATCTTGCATTTGACTCCGTCACAGCTTTGTAATGTTAGTTTTCTCATTATAGTTGGAATACCAATGCAGATTATACTAAGGGGAGACAAATCAGTGACGAACTTCATTGAGAATTTAAAGAAAGGGAAGACAACCATGTACCATGCCACTGGGATGATAATAGGGTGTGCTGGTAGTGGTAAAACAACATTGTTAGAGAGACTGAAGGACATTGACCTGGAAGAAATAAAGGAAAAAATCAGTTCAACCAGAGGAGTCGATATCCACACAGATGTATTTGATGTGACGGATAGCATCCAAGGTATTCTTTATTCAATATATTTATTTTTACATTTATTTTAATTTAATTTTGCAAATGTTTTCCTTTACATAGCACCACTGAAATCAATGCGTATCTATCAATCGGCTATGTTAAGGACCGATATGGAAAATGTGACCTTAGCACTGATTTAATATACATTACCTCTTTTAAAAAATTTTTAGCAAAGCTACTGAATACCCGTAGAAAATGTAATATAGTTATCCAAAGTGGACAGGACTAGCTTAGGCCTTACACAGTACCAATTATAATAACGCATGTAAATGTGTCAGCTGTTTGTCACGTGACTAATGTATAAATAGAGTTGTTAAGCTGAATGAAGGAAATGAGGATAGTGCAAGGGCATACGCTTATTTTTAAAGAAAGGCTTGGTAGGTTTAACATTTTAACATAGTTCGATAGTCATTATAAATACGAGTAAAATGAATACAGCACAGCTACTATCTCTCTTGCTGATTAGAGATATTACTAAAAATAGCTTAGTTTACACCTGTGAACTCGCACTGAAATTAGCTGTTTACTGGAAGTGACGTGTGTGACGTCACAAGTGTGACATGCAGAATATTGCATAGTCTAAAATGAAGAGCGAACTAGCATTAGGTCATTTAAAATTTTAAAATCAAAAGCCTTTGACTCATGCAGGCAGTACGTTAGTTTTATTTTCTGATTACTAGGCCTAATTTCTTTTCTAGTAAAAACAATATAGTTCCGGACTACATATATAAATATTGATCCCCCCTCCTCACCCAACACCCCCAATATTTTTTTTTTGAATGCGCAAATTTTTTATCAATATGGAAATACCGGGTTTTTTTATTCTCTCTTATTATTTTTTTAATTAATTATTTTATTTTCCGTTTAGGCTTTGCTTCTCCATTTTTGATTTTACACATTAAATTTAGTAAAAATTTCTTTTTTAGTTCGACCATAAGTTTGAAAACGCTGGTACAAGCAGCACCCCCCCCCCCCCCTTCCCGTCTAAAAAAAAACATCGTTTTCATATTTGATCAATTACATTGATATGAAGTGCAGGATCATTGTTCTGAGGTACACATCATCAGTAAAGTGCAGGTTGCATGTAGATTTTTTTTTCAAACCTCATTAGTTCCATATTCTTTCTCAATCATAGATGGCATTTGCAGAGGATCGTGATAGCTTGATATTTGGAAGCTGTGCACCCCGTTTCTTAGTTTTGACGTAGACTTACAGTATCTCAATTTACACTGCGATTGTATTTAATCACTGCTTACATGTATATTTACTCTTGTGAACTCTTAATAATATTGTCTGTTGACTTCCTTTTTTTATCTGTGAAAAATAACCTTTAAAAAGCCATTTCCCACAAATGAATTTCCTTTCTTTACCTGTCTGTTTACTGCATATGATTTTTTTTTCAATCAGGAACGAAAGAAATTTTGACAATTTTATTTTAAGATTTACCCTGGTTGTCATAACCTGACTTTAAGAATGAAAATTAAATAGGATCTTTTTTTAATTTTTAGTACGTTTTTTTTCATAAAATCCTAAAATCATCATTATAAAATTTGTGACTTTATTAGTTTTATTTGGGGGGGGGGGGGGGGGGGGTTATGGCGTACACACATCACTCGGAGCTCCTTGGATGGCTCGCTCTTATACTTGTGTTTGAATGGAGTGTAGCGGAGTAAGCCCAGGATTGCCGATTGTGCACATTATGCATATTCATGATCTTTCTATTACAAATAATTCAAACTTTTGCTTACAGTCACAAGCTACCGTGAACAGGGTGTATATTAATGTACATCTTTACTTAAATTGTCTTGTTCTCCTTGACACTGAATATGAATTCAATTGTTTATTTAATTTACATGTACAACTTCTATATTACAGTAATGTTTAGATTGGACATCTGTAAGGTATCGGTAAAATGTCATCCGGGACCCTTGACTTGTTCAACATTGAAAAATATATTGCATGAAACAACGTACAAACACGTGAATATTAGGTGGGACATAAAAACATTATACATGTCAATTATATTTTAACAAATTTAGTATACTCTAAAAGTCGAATTTAACATCTGACTTCGAATTGATTGTGTTGCATCAATTTAATTATTTTAATAATTATTTTAATATGAGAATAAAAACATTTTTTGTTTCTTTTTACAAAATTGTAAAACATACAAATTTTATCTTTTAAAATTTATACCACTGCTAGCACAGAAGTAATGCGACTTTGTTCAAAATTAATTTTAAAAAGTCACGCATCCCGTTTAACTGGATGGGGTGGGGTCATTTGTTAAAAAAAAAACTTTGCAGATCATAAAAAAATGACTATGAAATTTTTTTATTAAACTAAAATTAAACTACAACAAATGAAAAAAATGAATGCAAAATTTAAATCAGAAGGGACTAACATTATTCGTGTTGTCAGCTGTTTAAGCCTTAAAAGTTAAAGTTTAAGACGGGGGGGGGGGGAAGGGGGGGGGGTGGTAATGTGTCGAATTGTGTTTTTATTTATTAAATATATTTTTTAAAATAATGATTTAAAATGCTACTTGTGAATATTTTCTATCGTTTTACTCACATACCAAGCAATAGTATTAACATAAATAGTATGCAAACGATTTGCTTCCTCGGGTTCCACATCGTGGTCGATTCTTCTTCGTTAGATCTAGCCTGGGCTCAAAACGAAAGGGTTCTCCAATTTTTATGTATTATTGCACAGCAATGAATGCTCGTCAAAACTTGATGATCCACAAGCAATTTCTAGCGATTCTTTCTCTAATGGACTATCAGAATTATCCGAAACAGCGTTTTCTGTCATTTATTCACCTCTAACTTGAGGGAAGCGAGACACACTTGTGACGTCATTGAACTTGATTGCATTTAAACCGGAAGTGACATTGTCAAGGGTTATCGTTCGTTTTCACAGGTGCAAATGCAGACGTTCAACATTGATTATCTTGGAAACGGTGGTACTGATATTAGTCGGGTTTTTGCCAAAATGTTTTATAAAGCAGGTTTAGTGAATTACGTTGATGCGTAAAAGTACCGTGGCCTATCTTTAAGAAAAAAAATTATACATGTTTAAAGATGTTTATTTCCTCTACCCAAAAAGTATTGGGAGCTTGTCTGTGGTGTTTGTGAAGTATTGGAAACTTTGCCGAAAATGTGTATCATAGCTAAAAATTCCCACTTCGCTTAAATTCTATTATGAATAAAATCAATATTATGCATACCAGGATTAGCTCCCAGCTTTTTTCAAAATATACATTATTTAAGCAATAAATAATCCATATTTCATCTCAAACAAAAATGTCTATGCCACTGCACTTTTAATTTATATCATAAATACGCTTATCACCCTAGCAATATTCTCAACATCCCTTGTCCCTGTGTAGCTTCAATGCTACTAGATAAATTCATATTCTATACAAATTGTATTTAATAAATTAAATTGTTTTAGTTTTAATGATTATTTTTAGGTCACCTGAGTACTGAGTAACTCAGGTGACCTATTGCTATCCGTTTTCGTCCATTCTCATGCGTCGTGTGTTAACATTTGAACATTTTCAGCTTCTTCTCTGAAACCACTCAACCAATTTCAACCAATTTTTGCACAAAGCATTTATGGGTGAAGGGGAACAAAAATTGTGAATTTTATGGTCCCCGCCCCCTGGGGCCTGAGGGGTGGGGCCAAAACCACTAAAATAAGTGCAATCTTTAAAAATCTTCTTTACTCCTGGACATCAAGCAGGCAAACTGTTGTATGTAATGAGCATTGAGTCGTCTACCAAAATTTTGAAATTCATGGCCCCAGGGTCAGGGGTTCTAGTGCTAGGGCAGGGCCCTATTGATTATACAGTGAAAATGCATAATTTCTTTGAAAATTTTATTCTCTGCTCCTGGGTATTGAATAAACTAACCAAGCACATACCTATGATGAGCAAGATTGCCTCTTCCAAAATTGTGAATTTTGTGGCCCCAGGGTCAGGGGTTCTGGTTTTAGGATGGGACCCTATTGATTATATAGTGAAAATGCATTAATTCTTTGAAAATCTTCTTATATGCTTTTGGGTATTAAATAGTAGGTCACAGAGACCTAATTTTGACATTTTATGGCTTAATTTATGTATCTCTGGTACTAATTGGCTTAGAATCATCAAACTTTGTGAGTTGATGCATCTTGGGTTTTCGGAGAGTGACGACCAAAAAGTAGGTCATGGTGACCTACTTTTGATATTTTTTGGCTATAATTAAGTATCTCTGGTACTTATTGACCTAAAATCATCAAACTTTGTCAGTTGATGCATTTTGGGTTTTCGGAGATAGTCGACAAAAAAGTAGGTCACAGTGACCTACTTTTGACATTTATGGCTATATTTAAGTATCTCAGGCATTTATTGGCTAAAAATCATCAAACTTTGTCAGTTGAGGCATCTTGAGTTTTCAGAAAAATATAAACCAAAAAATAGGCCATGATGACCTACTTTTGAATATCTCAGGTACGTATAAGCTTAGAATCATAAAACTTTGGAGAACGTTGACTAAAAAGTAGGTCACTGTGACCTACTTTTGACATTTTATGGCTATATTTAATTATCTCTGGTACTAATTGGCTTAGAATCGTCAAACTTTGTCAGTTGATGCATCTTGGGTTTTCAGAGAATGTTGACCAAAAAGTAGGTCATGGTGACCTTCTTTTAAATAGCTAAGGTACTTATTTAATTAAAATCATCAGTCTTTGTCAATTAATGTATCTTGAGTCCTCAGAAAATTTCAATCAAAAGGTAGGTCACTGTGACCTACTTACGGTATTTTATCATTATATTATAGTATCTTCAGTCTTAACTGGCTAAATATTATCAAACTTTGTAAGCTGATGCATTTTGGGTCTTATGATACTAAAAGAGTTGGAGGCTTCTAATAGAAGTGATAGATTGTACAATTTATCAGAAGAGCAAATCAAGGCCCTTGGGCCTCTTGTTATTTATGCATCACTATATCGTAAATTAATTTTGTGGCTTGTGAAACTATAATAATAATAATATAATAATAATACTTTATTAAGAGAAGGTAACCCGATTAGTGCGAACACTAGTCTTCCTCGGGGCCTTCTTTAAAAACACATATACAATGCATATATACAATAAATAAAATTACAATTATGAGACA